TGTATGTGTATATGTATGTATGTATATGTATGTGTATATGTATGTATGTATATGTATGTGTGTATGTATGTATATGTATGTGTATATGTATGTATGTATGTGTATATGTATATGTATGTATGTATGTATATGTATGTGTATATGTATGTATGTATGTGTATATATGTGTGTGTGTGTCAGTGGGTGAATAATAATAATAATAATAAAGCGCTTTGTCCAGTAAGGTAGAATACTGCTATATGATTGCAGTTCAGTTACCATTCATTATGGTGTGCCCTTGGACATTGTTTCATGGGACTAGATTAGAAACCAGTTTCTGTCTCTCCTCTCTGTGGAACCTCATTGTTGTAACTGGGGCGACTGTGGCTAAGTGGATAGCAGGGCCGTCTTTCAATCAGCGGCGGTTCAATCCCCGGCTCTGCTAGTCTCATGTTGAGCAAGACACTTAACCCCAAAATTGCTCCCGTAGCTGTGCCTATGGTGTAGAAATGTGATAGAATCTGAATTGTAAGTCGCTTTGGATAAAAGCATCTGCTAAATTACTGTAATGTAATGTTGTCTGTGTGTGGATCGTTCTGACCTGTCCTCCTCTTCTCTCTCTCTCTCCAGTCTAAAGAGCTGGTGAAGGCCTACCCACCCTTCGTCAACTTCTTTGAAATGAGCAAGGAGACAATTGTTCATTGTGAGAAACAAAAGCCACGCTTCCATGCTTTTCTCAAGGTATAACCTTTGTACTTGCACCGTGTTTGTTTCCATGACCGGTGGATGGCACGTCAAGGTGGATTTTGTGGCAAAGAAAAAATACAAAACAGGAAAACCAAATGTATAAGACACTGCTTCATAGAAACAAAGATTATTATTATTATTAGAAAATATCGATGTATTGATACATAACGATACTGAACATTTGAAATGGTTTCAATACTCATTTTCTACAATAACAATACACGGGTGGGCGCTGAGCGTTGTGCTTTCTCTTCTCACACACGGCGAGTTGACACATTATCTTATCCCATTATCTTTTAATAAAAATCTAAAATGACTGACTGTCAATTAAATAAATAAAAGACAATTGCAGTTTACAGTATTTATTGTCAGTTTTTACACATTTCACTGGAGGGATTATACATAATAAATATCATAATAATAAATAACTGTTCTTTTTTCCTTTTTAAAGTAAAATAAGGGCTGCATTTAACAGCTTTTGAAAAAATGTGCATCTTATAATGAAGTGTTTAATTTGAGAAAAAATAAATATGAAAAATTATGCTTGAGTTTACCTTTTTTATACTTTTGTTAGCTCGAAATCAGTCTGAAGTGATTAAATGTATTATTTATAATACCTCTAGTTCAATGTGAAATCCTGGCAGGACGAGCTCACTGAACAAGAGACCGTGGTGGAGTGGGATAGAAGAGAACAGAAGCTGTTCAGTTAAGATGTGAAAGGGTTAACAAAACGTGTTTATGTTAAGATGCTCATTTTTGTTCGTTATGTATTTTATTATTTAATGAAGTACTCATTTTACTTGGCTTGAGAAAACATTTTTATTATTGGATGATTTATTATTTATAATCCCTCCAGTTCAATAAATATTCTAGAAATCCTATTGAATTGTACTTTATTTAATTTCTCTAACTGGATTTAACTGAATAGCCCTGCTCTATATGAATCATTATCTTGGTTCTTCTTGTCATGCAGAGGTCAAATGTCATGTATGCATTTGTTTGCATGTGACCATAGAAATATAGTTTCTCAGCATATGATCTATCCATATATTTGGCTACAGATGCCGTCCAGCTGAGAGCACACAGACCTGCCGTCAAGTTATGAGCAGAATTCACCTTAAGTAGAGACTTACGCCAGCAACATTTGACATATCAATCAGTGAAAGCGACGGTAGTAGCACTGTTATTATTTCTTCATTTCTTTATTAAAATATCGTCCTCTGGGAAAGAAAGGACTTGGGCCGTGGCACTGTGACAGCAGAGCGGTGGGATGGAAGGAGAGATCATTACAGAGCAATAAATCCTCCTATTTACAACGCTGCCACTCAATCCACACTAAGAAGGGTTCACAAGTCTAATTATCTGGATTTCAACCAGAGTATTTGACAGTTGGACACTTTTGTGCTGGAGAAACTGAAGCAGTATTTGGTATCACTACTACAGTTCAAATATGTTTGTAATGTATAAAATGAAGGTTGCTGTCTTGCTGCAGATTCACAGTAATAAATGTATCATGAATCATAGACAGCCTTTTTTATCTGTGTGGTCACAGAGTTAAAAGTGCACAAAGTAGTGAAGATACCGTCTGCTATCCGCAAAAAAGGCCCATTGAACAGATGGACTTGAGCGAATCCACCTTCATTTTGTTGGTGGTTGACATGCAGTGCAAACTTTTGTGTCCAAATCAGAGTTTGTGTTAGCGACACGCTAACACAAACGCACACACTGTCGCACACTAATGCTTGCATTCGACAGATTAACCAGTCTAAGCCAGATTGTGGCAGGCAGACGCTGGTGGAGCTGCTCATCAGACCTGTACAGAGACTGCCCAGTGTGGCCCTTCTCCTTAACGGTATTTCTCCCCCCACACACACACACACACACACACACACACACACACACACACACACACCTGTGTTGAAAAAAAGGTATGCTAATTATGTGGTTGATTGTCTTTGGCTCCTTATCTTTCCCCTTTCATACCTGTCTCCTTCCTCTATTATCTCCTGTTGATACCCGTCTGTAATTTCTCCTTTCTCCACATGATTTTCATCTCATCCTGTCCGTCTACTTTTTACCAAACTTTCCTTTTCTTCCACCGTTTCATCAGACATAAAGAAGCATACGTCGGATGACAACCCAGACAAGATAACGCTGGAGAAAGCAATCGAGTCTCTGAAAGAAGTCATGACGTGAGTTGGCGTGACCTCACCCTTGTCTTTTGTGATGATGTTTGATCATTTCCAACACCTCATGTGAACTCTCTCCACTCGAGCGTTATGTGGCTTCAACGTGTAATAACTGACCGTTGTTGAGCCAAGATTTAGCGAGAAACAAGTGACTTTGATGGAAGATTTATAATGACATACCTAACTGCCTGGTATTTCAGTGCAAAAATGTACAATTATATTCTATAATAAAATAGTTAATTTTACTACAGTAAATGATTGTATGACTTAAATATGCCAATATGAATGCATGGTTCCCTGTATATCAGGGAGGGGATACCTGCTGCTCTACTTTGCATGAACTCTATATACAAATATCCGACCAAACTCTCTCCATGGAACACACTATTCTCTACAAGCGCATCAGTTGGTGGATTTTTGTAATTATGTAATGTCAGCAGCGATGTGGTGGTGCTGCTTCCATCACGCAATATCGATCATAAACATGGAGAGCGGACCTGCCGTTCCATGTTTGAATATAGTTTTTAATCACCAGCTGGCGTTTATGATCATGTTTGCCCGAAGGCCACCTTACGCCTGTTGAAGGCACGGTGCACATGCATCTGTTTATAGGATCAATATGGTAGCACCTCCACCTCATTCAGAACCAGGACAAACCTGTATGTTTGAGCAGTCAGTCATTGATGAACATCACACAGCTACTGATACAAGACGAGCCTTAAACTAACTGGATTAATGCATTTAGTGTCACATGCTGAGCTCAATCAGACAGACCCCGACCCCATTCCACTTGTGATGAGCGTGGTCACTAGATGATGCTTTAAACAATCGCCTCACCTTTTTAAATATGTTGTCTCTGCTGCGTGAATCAGTGCCTCTATTGTCTTTGAAGCTTCATTTATTTCATAGACATTCTTCATTGAGATGTGATTCATTTTTCATTCATTATTGAGGGGTCCTCTAGAACACCCCAAAATGCTTATCCAAAATCGTTTTGTCCCAACCATGAGCAACCAACCACCAACAGGCTGTGACATAGTTGGATTTATTCAACCTTTAACAATAGTCTCATGTGTTTTTCATTAGTAAATGAATGTTAGTAGAGAAAAACTACGGGTTTCTTTTTTTTATTACAGCGACTAGAGCAGGGGTCTCAAACTCATTTTCACTCCGGGCCACATCAGCATCATGGTCGCCCACAAAGGGCTGGTTGTAAATGTAACTACTCCTAACATATTGTTAAATAACTGTCTCTGCATTTGATTATTGTTTATTCAAGTGTAAAAATATTGTACATGCAGTTATATAAATGTAAAATATATTTAAGCACATTTCTGTCATTATAACTTAAATCCTTTTAATGTAGGGTTAAGAAACCCACATTACTCTATCAAAGATCAAACTATTAAAGAAAATATCAAACACAAGTTATTACATTGACTTTGTTCAATGCTTAAAATCCTTTCAAGGGTGCGTTTGCATAATCCCACGTGAAGTATTTCATGTGTTTTAAAGCCACGTTTAAAGTAGACTTCAATGTACTCACAATACATTTCCATGTCACATGTACAGTAACCAGCCAAAGAGCTGCTTCTGTGACTGTGTTTAAGTATCTCATCATTCTGACTTTCAATCTCATCATTTTGACTTTCTATCTCAGAATTATGACTTTCTATCATAGTTATGACTTTCTATCTCATAATTTCGACTATGGGGATATTTTTATTATCAAGTCTATCTTTAAAAAAAAAAACAATTTACTTTTTTTTTTTTTTTTTTTTACTGGCGGAATCGCGGGCCACATAAAATGACTTGGCAGGCCGCATTCGGCCCGTGGGCCGGGAGTTTGAGACCCCTGGACTAGAGACTAGTACTAATAACCAGAAGTAGAGCTGCAGCTAATGATTATTTTCCTTTTCTACTATGTTTAATTAAACATCCTTGGTGAATTTTGAGTCACTGTTGGTCAACTAATGGATTTCTTGGTTCATAGTTTCAGTACCAGATGAGATGTAAAATAATATCCTTTGCTTCTCCCTTTTCTCCCACTAGTCACATCAATGAGGACAAGAGGAGGACTGAAGGCCAGAAGCAGATCTTTGATGTCGTTTATGAAGTGGTTGACTGTCCTGTAAGTTTGAGGACTGCTGCTGTTTGTGTACAAATCAGTCAAACCATAGTAAGATGTGCAAGTATATTCAACATGCTCAGACAGTGACACTATGATGTTTTGTACCAGTTGTCAGCTATTCATCAATGAACTTGTTGATTTGGGAGACATTATTACTGGCTTCTCATACAATATGGATGTGTGAGCGTTAGAGAAGAGTGAAAGATTTCTACCGTTTTGGATATTGTGGTATTAAATAATTTAATAATGATGATGATGATATCTGGAAATGATTTATATTTAATTTAATTTTGGACCATAGGTTAGGTCCCGTGTGAAAACCGACTCTTTTCTCAACAACCTTCCCGTCTACCTTCCAAAGTGTTGACTTTATCCCATGTGTGCCTCTTTGTCTTCAGTCTTGGCTGTCAGTTTAAGGTTTCTAGGTTCATTTATTGTCAATTGTACCTAATTGTATCGGGTTGCACAACGAAGCGACAATGTAGTCCCTTTCTGCTAATGAGAAAGCCAACATCTTGATGGAGTCTCAGCCTGAGGAGAGAAGCTGCTGTGTAGTCTGCTGCTATCCTCTGTGGATCTGTTGGCTCTGTGTGCACACTGGTGAGGGTCCAGGCTGGCTGGGACGTTGTTTTTGAAGAACCAGTTTCTCACAGCACTTCATCAGGATGGGGGTGTACGCCACAGGGCGGTCCTTCAGATGAGACACACTCTCCTGTGACAGTAAAGATGTCAATGATGACATCAGTTAGCTGGTGGGTACATGCTCTGAGTACACAGTGATGTTATCTGGCCCAGCAGCTTAACTCGTATTCACTCTCTTCAGGATTCTTCTCACATCTGTTGTGTGCACTGACGGTGGCCGGTCCATTGGAGGCGGGCCAGACGCTAGCTGACTGCCGAAAGGCAGCTTTTCTGTCTCAGTAAAGGACCCTCACCTCTCTATCATCCAGGCTTACTGGTTGGGGAATGATTTTATTGTCTTAGTGATCACCACATCAACACATCTGCCGACATATGATGTCACTGGTGTATATTCCTCAGGATTGTTATGGTTCTCCTTGGTGACGGCATGTCTGAACATGTGTCAGTCTGTGCACTCAGAACAGTCCAGTAAAGCTGCTGTAGCTTCATCTGTTGACACTGGAACAGTTTTTCTAAAGGCTTGGCCTGTTTAATCAGCTGGGAGTACATTGGCCAGAAAAGCAGAGACATGTGATGTGTTTGTGTAAACATGGTCCAGTGTATTGTTTCCTCTGGCGGACATGTGGACCTGCTGATGGAATTCCGATGAAACATATCTCCTGCCACAGTAAAAATACCATCCGGTTGTTTTGTCATTTCATTTTCCTGCATCTTGACATTAGCCAGGAGGAGCAGGCTTGGTAGTGGAGTAGCCTTAGGTCCAAGCTGGGTTAGCTTAGCTCCTGCCTCTCTTCCTGGGGCTGTAGCGCAGCTTTTGGTGGCGTTTGGTGTGGCTGGGTAGGCGGAAGATGTTTTGCCGGTAATTGTCTCAAGGTCTCCTGCCCTTAATCCAGTCCTCGCACTTCCTTTTCCCATCTTGATTAGTGTATTTCAGTCATAGATGTCGCTATGGTCACAGTCAACATCTCTCTTTCTTTTATCTTATATAACCTCATCTCTGTAATTCTTCAAACATCCCGTTTACTTTCTGTGCTTTGTCTTCTCTGCAGGCCAACTTGCTGTCGTCCCATCGCACTCTGGTTCACCGGGTAGAAACGATCGCCCTGGGAGACCAGCCTTGTGACCGTGGGGAACATGTCACACTCTTCCTCTTCAACGACTGCCTTGAGGTGAGAATACACACAAACACCAAGAAAGGTTTGACAATCTCACTCAGAAAAGGTTCACACCTATTTGACCTGTTTTACCATAGGTCAGGGCTGGAGGTAAGACTCCAGACTAGACTTGGACTATCTTGAACTCTTCAAGTCTATTAACTCTTTCCTTTTTAAAGGCCTAAGTCACACCAACATTTAAAAATGGTCATTCATTTCAAACTAATCAATTATTTCACGCTTATCCACAATTCACTTTAATTAACAGAGTAACTTAACTCTAAATCCACCTTTTTAAAATAGTAAATTACATGTACTGTCATGTTTATTACACTATCTTTATGAAATGTAATTGAAAGGAGTAGTTCTCATTTTGTTAATTTACACCCTCCCCACCATTCATTCATATCCAATATTCTGCTGCATCCTGGATTGTTGGATGCGGAGAGATAATTGAAAGTCATTTTAGCAGCAGATTGTGTATTTCTATTAAAACAACATGAAAGACACAAAGGGGCAGTTATAAATGTCATAATTTATTAAATGTAGTTACAATAAGTAGAGTGCTTTCTATTTTCACCACTTTCAACTCTGATACCATTTAACCAGTGATGTAACCATAAATACCTTTTCTGTGTACCTTGTTGGTTAAGCGAGACGCAGCATGGCTCTCAGCATGTTCTTAAACACATGCTGAGATTCATGTGCACACGCAGCATTGAATACAAAAAGGGCCTGAAAAGGTCATCAATCCCTGTGTGCAGTCTGTCCTTGCTGACACAATCAGTTAATTAGCAAAGAAGCCGCGCACAAACACAATGAGAGGAGGTGGGTGGCTGCGCTGATTCAGGTGTGTGTGTGTGTGTGTGTGTCTGTGTCTGACGGTCCTCCATGTAGACCTGGATGTATAATGAGGGAATGTTGTGTTAGAGTGGGTGGCCTCACTACTCCTCTCCATCTCACGTCATTGATTACTCTTGCATTCATATAACCACTGTCCCCCTCTTCACTCACACTGCCAAAATAACACTGACCTACGGTGTAGTGCCCTATTTCATCTTCTCCCCTATCTCTCTCTCTCGCTCCCTACCTCCTCTCTCTCAGCATCTAATTAATGTGGCATTAATGAGTTGCATCGTTTACCTCTATGAAGGCCTCATTGATTTATTGGCAAGTAACCGATAGCGGCTTCACCCACACACTGCAAAATGCACCCACACTCAATTCTTAATCGCAACCACACACACACACAAACAAGTTGCCTTTCTCCCCATTCCCCTCCAAAGTGGCTGTCTATTTTGTGCATCTGTCAGGTGTGTGTGTGTGTCTCTGCAGATCGCGAGGAAGCGACACAAGGTGATCAATACATTTAAGAGTCCGCTGGGACAGACGAGACCACCACCCCCGCTCAAACACATCGCACTGATGCCGCTGTCCCAGATCCGCAGAGTGCTGGACCTGCAGGACACGGAAGGTAACACAGCGACAGCATGCCCACACTGTAAACTAATGAGGCTACTGCTTATCACTTCATCTGCATGTCATTTGAGGGTGTTTTATGGCTCCCTCTCAATCTGCACTCCCTTGTGTTTAACCACTCAAATCGGTGTCTTTTGGAGTGTCCCTATTATTATTATTATTATTATTATTATTTTTATTATTATAGTGCAATGCTTAAAAGAATGACGAACCAACTCCAACATCCCAGCTCAATTTGTTCAAACATTACAGAAGCTATTTCACAATACGTTCATTCAAGAATGCTCCACGCTCTGAGATCTGAGTCAGCTCACTTCTGCAATTTCTTCATTTAAGAATGTGAATTTGTAGCTGGTCTTCATCTCTTTTAACTCACCAACAGGAGAAAACAAACATCAAATGTGTGATGCTGTTTGTTTTAGCTTTGTTACTTGTCTCTTTAATATGAAATATCGTTAACCTTTTGCTGTTTTGTTTTTTGTTATTTGTACTTTTGTGTGGAACTTTTATTCTGCCTCTGAAAATATATTTTGAATCTCAATGGGACAATACTGGATATGTCGAGCTTCATTTAGGAAAACAAATAAAATGACCTAATCCAATAGGAATATTCCATCGGATTTTGCAGGAAATATGATCTGTGGGCTATAAATAAACTACACCAGGGTCACATGAGCGTGAGTACACAACATGGCTGTAGAGGCGTGATGACGTTTAGTCGTCTCATTTAGACCTTTTTGAAGACGAGTGAAAGTGTTCTTTTCGTGTTCATTTACAACGTTACAATCGCTTCAGCTTGTGTTAACCACAGACTTTATTTCAGGCATCTAACCAGAAACGCATCCAGAATACACATTGACTGCGAGATGCGGGAACTGACTCATATCCAGGTTTTAGGACTCATTCCTGCACCACTTTAATACTAAAAACCTGCTGGAGCCTCACAGAGTTTTACATTGACGGAAGGTTTTAACGGCCAATATGAACATGAAGAATAATTTCAGCAAGTAGGGCTGCACGAAATTGGAAAGAAAACTGACATTGCAGGTTTTTTTCTGCAATACATATTGCGATAGGAATGTTTTGTACATTTTAAAGTTAGATGCATGCATCTGGTGCACTTGGGAGCAAAATTTAGATCTATAAACAATTTTGGAAGTGGCAACGTTCTGTTCGATTCACATTTTATACTCAATTATTCCTCTTTGGTCTCCTGCATATCATGCAAGTGTTGCTCCACATGATGGACATAATAACTCATCACAATGAGGAGTGAACAGCTGAGCTTGCTCCAAAATCGGTACCGATAGTGAGAACGAGGTTACAATTTTTGCATCTGTAGAATGTGACACGTTACAGTTAAATATTGTTAGCAGAACACTTTGCGGGCACGTAATGCAGCATACATTTCAGCACATTTAGACATTGGAGTGTAGAGTGAACAGTGATTTCAGACATTGAAGAATGAAATACTCTTTTCTGTCTGAAACAAAATGTTAAGTCCACACATATCTCATTATTAAAGATGCTCAATATGAACTTCTGAGCATAATTACTGCCTCCACACAGCTCAACATGGAGACTGCTGAGCAGGCGGCTAGTGGCTAATGATGCTAACATTGTTTACCTGGGGGAACCAGAATGTGGGTGCTAAGCTTCCGGCGTTATCAGCAGTATGAGAGCAGTGCAGAGCAACGAGCATGAGCTAGCCAGTGGCACACACTCACGTGCACTAAAAGGCCCGACTATGTTCAGAGAAGCTCCGATTACAACAATGACACAGGGCCAGTGACTTTATTCTGTGCTCAGGTTACTACTACACTATATCTTCATAGTTAATTATACACGTAATGCTTGCTGCTCTCAAATGTGAGGCAGAGATGACACCATACTCACTGATTCCATCTGTCTCAGGCCTTCCTCATCAGCAGTGTTGGATATCATTAAACCTTTATCTCCAGGAAAAAAGCTCCAGGATCCCACATTAGTATGACACGCTGACAAGTGAAGGGGATCCAATAGCAATTGTTTCTTACATAATTTGGCACTTCCTTTATTTTGTCTGCCCCTGTAGTTTCATGTGAGAACACAATGTTCTCTGACAAATGCTATCTTTACACAGGGAACACTGATGATTGATGTCCATGCAGTTTGGATGGAGCACTGAATTTGTCTTGCATGTTGTTTCTTTCTTCCACCACTTCTGCCTGCTCTTATCTCTCCATCTGTTTCTCTTCCTTTTCTACCCATCCAACACTCTTCCTCGATCATGCTCATCCTTTTCTGTCACATTCTCCTCATTTCAATCTCTTCACTGGACAATTTTCTTCCTCCTTTCATTCTGTCACTGTTCATTATTGTCTCTCTTTCTCCATCACTGTCTGTCCTTCTCTCACTCTCTCACTGCCTCCCTTCAGAGTGTGTGAATGCATTCGCCTTGGTGGTTCACCCTCCAACTGAACAGGAGAACTTGTTGTTCAGCTTCCAACTGGCCGGGGAAGAAACGGTTAAAAGCGCCTGGCTGCGAACTCTGTGCCGCCATGTCGCCAACACCATCTGCAAGGCTGATGCGGTGAGAAGCTGCGCACACACAGACACACAAAGAGAAGATAATGGCTTGTTTGACAGAGTGGCAGGCAGGGAAGGAAGCTGTGGTAGCTCTGTAATCTTCAACAGCAGTTTAATCTGAAGAGCCCTTTCCTCTCCAAAAACAAATTGGTCCAGTCTAAAAGCCCTTCCACACCTACCTCGGCCCTGAACTTCAGACTTTTCTGGTGATCCAAACCAAAAGGCGCATGGTTCAGTTTGTTTCTAGTGTCGGACCATAACAGGAAGTTCTGGCCGGCTGTTAGAAAGAACCATATAAAACAAAATGAGTAGCACAAGCGTAGAGGAGGAGACCGAATGTTTAATTGACATTTGGGCCGCCGACTCTACAAAGAGTCAGTTGAAAAGAACTCACGAACATTTTTAATTTGAATAATTATTAAGAAGAGAAATCAACTGTACACACTGCACTGCTACGTTCACGGCCGTAAGGTTACTGCTGACTGCTTACTCATCGTCACACACGGCACTTCTTTCTTTCTTTATTGGTTTATTTGATAAGAGACAGTGCACATTAATAAAAGCATTGCTGTAAATGCGCCAGTTAGCCAAGAGGCTATCTTTCATCTGTAGTCCCAAGGCAGATGTTACAAAGTAAACCTAAAAACAGAATATAAGATTACAATATTATGCTGCATTATTAGACACTAAAAAACATCCATGTCAGAGGCACACAACATAAAAGCATGCAGAGTACGAGAAATAAATAAATCAGTCGGACGCAGCTAAACAATAAAAGACATGCATGCAGGTAGATGAGGGTCGACCAATTTCAACACAGACTTACTCATACAGGAATAGTGTGTTTCTTGGGGACTATTTTCAGCTGTGGATTAATACACATCTGCTGCTCTAGCGAGTGATTCCAAAAGCAATTGATGAATTGGATTGAAATTAATTTTGAAATAATCTATTGTGTAGCGAACAGTGCAGCAGTGTGGCTCATTGATGTGTTTTTCATAGCATTGAACAACATGAAACACAGACAATTCTTATTAGTTCTCCCAGTTCCTAGTTGGTTTTATTCTTTTCATGATGAAGAAAAACGGAACATCCCCAACTGTATCCCTAAATGGTTTGGGGAGATTATGGAAAACTGACTTGTTATGAGCTGATTAGGCGTGATGGTTATGAGTTATTATTTTTAAGAGTTAATAAGATATGAGTATGGTTATGGAGGTGAGGCTGTCTACTCTATTATTAAGCAGAGCAGGCAGCAGGGGGCGATCTTGGCCTCTGTTCAGCCTGCCACCTCGCAGCTGCATTCTTAATGCTGTTTTCACTGGGTCAACGCTACCATGTGAATACCAACGAGATGGAGCCCTGCTTGTTAACAAGCTCAGTGCAGGGGGAGGGGGGGAGAGAAATAAGGACTGTGTATCCTACCACAAAACATAAAGTATCTATCAGCATTGATTGCGTGAATTGCACACTTCAGGTCATGATGTATTCTTTTTTCTCGTCTGGTAACTAGGAAGACCTGATTCAGTGCACAGACCCAGACTCACTACATGTCACCACCAAGGATATGGACAGCACCCTGAGCAAAGCCTCCAGGGCCATCAAGAAGACCTCTAAAAAGGTAAAGTTTCCCATCATCAACCTGCCCAACTGCACCTCTTCCAGTGGTGGGTCACGGTAACATACCTGTGGAGCAGCCAGGCGTTGTTCAGACTGCTGAATGCAGTGAAGTCGGCGAAACTAGTTTTTAACCAGATGTTGGTACACTACTGCCGTTCCGTGTGAATCTTTGGAACAAGCAGATAAAAGATATGCAACATTGTCATCAGCGCTATATCTGACTCTAAAGCAGACACATTTGAGGGAGCACTGAGTGCAGTGAAGGTCAACAGATTAAAGAAGGGCTATGGGGCAGACTGTCAGTTGACCAATTCTCTTTTCCTTGGTGCTACAAAGTTTCTTTCCTCATTCATAGTGCGCTGAATTTAAACATGGACACATATGCAGAGGTCAACAGCTGTTATCTCTTCAAGAAATAGCTTTGCATGTATTCATTATGTGGGAGACTACTCCTTTAACAGATAAAAGCACATTATAGAACTACTAATGGCAAAATGTCTGGCCGCTTATAAAAACCATGGCTTGTCAGATGCTGATCCTTCTCACGAGCTGTCACAACGGCTATTCACTTTTTGGAAGCTAAGATAGCAGCATGCTCCCTGGGTTTTCTGCCTGTCATCTTTTAGCTCTTTTCCACGTAAGCGGTCAGTACAAAGTGTCAGGACTTGGTATGACACCGATTTGCTTTCCTGATTTATTTTTCATTATGTTTCCAGCTTGTCTGCCTGAATGTCCATCCATCCTTACATGAACGTTATATCTGAGTTTCTTAAAAGTTAGCACAAACGTCCACTTGCTCTCAAGGTTGAACTGTTAATGTGGTGGCCAAAGGTCACTGACCTCACAAAAAACATTTTTGGCCACAAATCATGAATTCGTTTGCTAATTATGATAATTTCTCACAATTGTCCAATAGGATAAAGCGATGATATTTTGGACGTACATAGAGGTAAACTGCAACCTAAATGATTTGCGGCATTCGGCATCTTCTACACTTAAAACTGAAGCCAATGTGGAAATGTCTTAAAACTTGCATTCTCTCTACTGTCCACCAGGGGGCGACTCCTCTGGTTGTATAGAATTCTGTGAGAAAATGACTCTACTTCTCATTTGATTCATTACCTCAGTAAACACTGTAAACAAAAAAAAGATGGCGATGGCCAAAATGCTGAGATTGGGGCTTCAAAAGCATAGTCTACAAACCAACTGGTGGCCCAGTGTCTCATTCACAACATAACTTTGTCTCTTACGAACCTAATGTGAAATAAATATGCGTTCATTATCAGATTTTAGTTTTTATCTCGCATATCTAAATAGTTATCAGCACTGGATAATATTTGTTAAATCAATATGTGAAGAAAGTGAATAAACAAGTTGAAGACAATATCTAAGCATTACAAATGAAGTACCAGCCTGCTGCTGCTAAACTATATAGAAATAAGTCTTTTGACATGTGTATCTTTGGATGTTTTTATATTGTAATTATTATTATCATTACATAGTGCACATTACCCTTATAATAAATCAAATGTACGTTGTTAATGAAAGCTGTTACCTTTGTTGTTCAGACCATGTAATGTCTAGTACAGATGGTCCTCAGTCACATGCACATCACCTGCAGTACTTGTTGGCAGTGTTTGGGACGAATAAAGAAAAGGTTGTATAATTATCTTCAGCTGTGACGGATACTAAGATAGTCAAAATGAAGTGGCTGATCCCATTCAATCCAATATACACTCACCAGCCACTTTATTAGGCACACCTGTTCAATTGCTTGTTAACACAAATAGCTAATCAGCCAATCACATGGCAGCAACTCAATGCCTTTATGCATCTAGACGTGGTGAAGAGGACTTGCTGAAGTTCAAAGCGAGCATCAGAATGGGGAAGAAAGGGGATTTAAGTGACTTTGAACGTGGCATGGTTGCTGGTGCCAGACAGGCTGGTCTGAGTATTTCAAAAACTGCTGATCTACTGGGATTTTCACCCACAACCATCTCTAGGGTTTACAGAGAACGGTCCGAAAAAGAGAAGATATCCAGTGAGCGGCAGTCGTGTGGACCAAAATGCCTTGTTGATGTCAGAGGTCAGAGGAGAATGGGCAGAGTGGTTGGAGATGATAGAAAGGCAACAGTTACTCAAATAACCACTCGTTACAACCGAGGTCTGCAGAACACATCTCTGAACGCACAACACGTGGAACCTTGAAGCAGACGGGCTACAGCAGCAGAAGACCACACCGGGGGCCACTCCTGTCAGCTAACAGGAAACTGAGGCTACAGGCTCACCAACATGTGACAACAGAAGATCTGAAAAACGTTGCCTGGTCTGATGAGTCTTGATTTCAGCTGCCACATTCAGATGGTGGGGTCAGAATGTGTCGTTAACAACATGAAAGCATGGATCCATCCTGACGTGTATCAACGGTTCAGGCTGCTGGTGGTGGTGTAATGGTGGGGGGATGTTTTCTTGGCACACTTTGGGCCCCTTAGTACCGATTGAGCATGGTTTAAACGCCACGGCCTACCTGAGTATTGTTGCTGACCATGTCCATCCCTTTATGAGCACGGTGGACCCATCTTCTGATGCTACTTCCAGCAGGATAGTGCAGCATGTCACAAAGCTCAAATCATCTCAGACTGGTTTCTTGAACATGACGATGAGTTCACTGCACTCCAATGGCCTCCACAGTCACCACATCTCAATCCAACATAGCACCTTTGGGATGTGGTGGAACGGGAGATTCTCATCATGGATGTGATGCTATCATGTCAATGTGGAGCAAAATCTGTGAGGAATGTTTCCAACACCTTGTTGAATATATGCTACGAAGAATTAAGGCAGTTCTGAAGGCAAAAGGGTCCAACCCGCTACTAGCAAGGTGTACCTAATAAAGTGGCCCTTGAGTGTACATTGCTAAGATTTTGTGTGTGTGTGTGCGTGTGCGTGCGTGCTAGGTGACCAGGGCCTTTTCCTTCACCAAGACCCCAAAGCGTGCGATCCAGAGGGCGTTCATGGCCAACAGTACTCCAGATGAGAAAACCCAGAGGCTGAGCTGTGAAAACCGCCTCGGCAGCAGCTCCACGCTGGCTGTAAGTATTTTTTGTTCATATTTACTTGTGGGGGAAAGGACATGATGTTCTCTTATATAAGTTTACTTACTTCAGAAAATACATTTCCTGAATTTGAAAATGTGTCTACTCTGTCTCCTTCATATCAACAGCATAACACAATTAATACTGGGATGTGTCTCTGTCCATCTACCTGTCCATCTGTTCACTTCTTTTCTTCTCTCTCCATCTCTTCCTCCCTTTGAGAACCATACAATTGATCTCTCCATCAATCCATGATGGAGCAGCTTTCAGCCGGTGTCGGTTGATTTGATCGAGCTTGATTTAAAAGCAGGAAAAGAGCCTTCTGCTCTTAAATGTGAAAGCAACTTTTTCTGCTCTTTTGTAGGATTGCTATTTCAGTAGTTACCATACTTGTTTTCCTACATGTTTTGTGTTATGGCCAGTGTTTGAATGACTCATTTCATGATACTCTATTTTCATTAAACAAGTGGGTGTGAAGAAGAGGAGGAGAAATGTTAAGAAGTTAAAGAAAAAAATCGAATTCCCACCGTTTACTCACTTTTGTTAGTCACTTATCTTACTCGTTACCTTGTTTCCAATGACACAAGGATGTCAATCTAATTAATTGAAGGATTAATATTGCTATATATTAATGTATAAACTGGTCCATGACTGTAACTCGTTTCCTTGATTAGCATATTATAGTTTGCTGTGTAGAATGCAGGCTTCAGGTAATTCCTCGTCAACACTGGCAGCAGAGTGTGCTTTATCCTTTTTCACAGTTGGCACTTCCTTTAATACAAACAGAGCAGGTGAGTCTCAGCCACAACTGCTGCATCTAAAGAAAAGGAAAGTTAATGTGGGTGCTGAGACAATTTGGCTAATGAGGACAGGGCTATAAAATGTATCTCGACGGCTACAGACATGTCATGGTAAAAGACCTCACCAGTGGATGATCCATGTAGAGGACAACAAGTTTGGCTAAGGTTGCTGGAGTATAAACTCTGGATGATCCGATCTCAAAGATCTGTACAGGTCCGTTAAAGGCAATATATAACTGATCGTATCGGCTTTATTGAGCCTGATCTTTTGTTTCACGTCAACTGTCACACTAACACTGTAATGCACAGTAACACAATGACTGCCAACTCTTCAACACTCCCCCACTCTGCTGAGTTCCACTCATGTGCATGAGGGGGCCACACACACCATAAGCAAAATGCAGTATGAGACAGTTTATTGATATTTACCTAAATTATGTCACTTAGTGTGGGAGTCTTTATTTTTCAACCACACTCACCACGCAGCAAGTGTGACAAAATCTCAGAAAGCAAAAAGCCAATAAGAGTCATTTATTAATGTAATCTGCACAAAAGATGTAGAGAAGACAAAAATAAACCCTCTACGGAGTAGAGTTCATTCAGGTAACTCAGGCAAAGGCTACACTGAGGCAACAAACACCGGAGGACACGTTTAAAGGGAGAGAGAAATTCCATCTAGACAGCTGCTAGGCCACAAATATTACAGAGAGGGGTTGTTAATTTAAAGAGTACTTCATTATTAAGAAAGAAAAAAAAAACCATAAACAACAGCTTGGATGCAGGCAATTTTTTTTAATGCAATGCAGAGCTATTTAATTGTCAAGCATAAACATTGTATTGATTTTAATAACTTTAAATGTGCTTGAAGTGTGCACTGCAGCTGTGTTATGTAGGAAAATACAATAGAAACATGATCAGGTCATCCCTACTCAAATCCAATAAAGCAGGACACATTAGCCTACATTCAGATATAGTAGCATCCAGGACTAGCTCCCACACAGTAGATACTGTGTGCTACACAGTAGAGATGTGCTACACCATTGGTCACCAACCTTTTTAAGCCCAAGATCCCTGACCTCTGCCTTGGTGACAGGCAAGATCTACCTATTGAGGTGTTGAGAGAAAAAGACTGTCCAGACTGTACTTACAACTTGAGGCTTTTTATTTGGCCTAATTATAATTGAATGAAATCGAACACTTTGGTCCAGCTTTCAAATTGATGTGACCAAGAACACACTAAATCACTAAATTTCAGTGCAACATAAAAAGGAAATTATTTGTTAACCGCACACAATATGAAGAAAAAACACATTTGTAATGAGCAGGCTGGATGATCTACCAATATTAACTGTTGTATTTATCAACTGAAGTTACAACACAACACTGACAAAATTCTCAGTCAGTGCAACTAATGTAAGTAAGGACACATCTACATTCTGCAACAGTATCTGCACCGGTGAAGTTAGGTCTCAGTTTACTCGACCGGTGCTCGCTTTCCGCTTTGACATGATTTTAATCAGTCTAAAGTTGCTTTCGCGTTGCATGTGGAGTCTGTCGATTGCGCACACGTCTCTTCAGTTGCATGCCCTTATAAGGAGCTGGCGGGGTGTTTCTGTATGCAGATCCAGGTGCACGAGAACACGTGTTCAATTTAAGAATCCTCATTTGGGGGAGCACAGCTGAGAACACTTTGGCTGTGTAAGAGCCCATTTTCAGGCGTTCATGAATCAGGCAGAGATCTTTTCTGACGTTGGTCTTCCGAAGTCCGTAAGAAAACATTTCGGAAGATGTTCGAGAATGAGGCCCAACGTGTTTCTGAATTTATTTTTGTTGTTTACACGGTAGAGACGCTACACGGTAGAGATGCGCTATAGAGATGCTACACGGTAGAGATGCGCTACAGAGATGCGCTATAGAGACGCTACACGGTAGAGATGCGCTAYAGAGACGCTACACGGTAGAGATGCGCTACAGAGATGCTACACGGTAGAGATGCGCTATAGAGACGCTACACGGTAGAGATGCGCTATAGAGATGCTACACGGTAGAGATACACAGCTTTCTTTTGAACCTGTGTTTATCAATTTAACAGTGTATGCTGTTGTGCATTGTATATTTAAAACTACAGTCTGTCTAGGTATGCAATTTTAAATGTCCCCTGCCTTTCTTTGTTGATCTGCTTAAACTCCTAACATTTCTAACTTACTTCATGTGATACACAGCCTTATATAGTCTTTCATCTGTTTCTGTCTTTTTTACCTTCTGAGGATATGCTCTCTCCTTAAGCTCTGTTTCAGCGTCTCTATTCTCTGCTTGTCTCATCTTGTTTTTCAGGTTTTGTTTCATGATATGTAAATCCCTGCTCCATGTGTGTCTCCCCTCTGTTATGTGCTCTAGATGTCTCGCTCTGCCTCAACGTTCAGTTTGAGTGATTCTGCCAAGAGCAGTGCTGTGGTGCAGCGCTCTAACTCTCTGGACCATCCTCCAGTCAGAGCCAGGGTCCCAGTCTGTATACGTACCCCCAGCAGCCCACCCCCAAACCCTGCCCCCGAGTTTAACGAAAGCCTCCACCCCTTCTATTGCCCTAGCACCCAAGAACCCAAGTCCATCCTTCATGCTCCACTATTGTCCCAACCAGCACCAGCTCATTCAGGCCCCGACACCTCTCAACAGTCCACCACTTCAACCCTTCCCAACTCCACCTCGATTCCAGCTGTCCGAAACTTCATTCAGCTCAACTCAAAAAGCTCCCAACCAAAATCTAGCCAGCATGTGTCCAGACACCTACCCTCAGTGGGGTTCCAGGCAAGGTTCCTGGCTAATCAGCCTGTTAATGTCATAGGCAGGACCTTTTCTGAGTCATACAGGGATCCCCAAGCCCCCTTGGACCCATGCAAGGCTGCCCTGACCAGTCCTCGCAGGGAGACTCTGCTCTAAACGTCAGTCCTGGAGTCTGATGTGAGCAAACCTATCACTGTGGTCTAGTTTCAACTAGGGGTGCACCAATACCATTTTTAATTTCATATTAATCCTCATTACCTGCAGATTACTCTTTAGCCTTTTAACATCCAAATGCCACAGGTGCATTTCTAGTCCCAAATCAACTCCTTAGAAGCTGAGGCCCTTTGAAAAGATGCATCAGATTAATGAGGCTCCGCTGTTCAGCTGAACTCTGAACTTCAAGGGTTAGATAAGAGAGGGGGGGTGTAATGCTGCTCCCTACTTGGGATTGTGTACAGGGCAGAGATTTTAAGGGTTGATTTGGAATTGCTCTGCTGGTATGAATCACCCGGGTTACTAACTGATGGTGGTGGCTGGGAATGTTCACTAGGTGGGTGCCAATAACTGGGCTGAACACAAAAGGGTATAAAGGATCTGAGTTGGTGTAGAGCTGTGACATAAAAGAGATTTGTCCAGGTGGACGCTGGCTCTCCTTCAGGGGAAAATGGCTTCTTTAAAGGCATGCCGTCACATATAGAATATTTCACTGAACTGTCAGGTGTTTTAAACATTACCGTTTAGTACAGGGAAATTCATATTCATTATAAAGGCTTGATCTGATTATTAATCATTGACATTAAAAGGTGTTACTAAGTTAAAGTCCGATGTCTTTCTTTTAATCAAAGCAGCTACTTCAGAAAGAAGTTGAGGGACTAATATGGAGTAGCCCTGTCATCAGTGCATGAATGGTAACATGTAGTGGTAAAGAGCTTTGAGTGGTCAGAAGACTAGAAGAGAGAGAAACAAGTACAGTCCATTTACCATCTACCATTTAATAAGTGACAGTTGGAGATAATATCAAGAGTACAAATGTAAATGTCAAGGCATGCCTTTGATTGTGGATCCCAAGCTCTGTGTGTTTTGGCTAGTTTACACAAAAACAGCTCCCTGGAATTCAAACGTAAGTGTATCTATGGTCTATGACTTCTCATCTTTCACTTGTGGTGGCAGGTCACGTGTCATCTGTCCCACATTTGAACCACTTGTGATTGCTAAGTCAATGTTCCGTCTTCACCTCAGCCATTTAACCCGTTCCATGTTAGATGGACAGAGCTCTACCAGTCTGAAAGCTATTCTTGCTTGTGACATGGGCTTTCAACAGACACATGACAGTGTTATCTATTTGGAGATCATTAAACCATTTCACTATGACCCATACAGAAGCCTCTTCATTCGAACCAACAGAACAGGAAATTAATTATCCATTTTACTCCTATTTTCTGTGTGCGTGAGTGAGTGTGTGCGTGTGAGAGACACGTTACTGTCTGTGCTGCTTTGTGTGATGTAAAATTAAGCAGCGGTGGCACAAATGCATAAATATGACCGGAAACACTCCTGAAATATTTTTTTTATTTATTTCATTATACTATATTAATCCCGGTAAGGGGGAAGTTTGTCTCTGCATTTGACCCATCCCTGTATATAGGGAGCAGTGGCTGCCTATGAAAGGCGTCCGGGGATTTTTTATTTTTTATTTTATTATATATAAAAAAAATGATGAGACGGGCCAGCCGGTCATGGCGATCAGCTGAAAATTGTTTATATATAATTTTTTTTTTTTTTATCTGATGACGCTAGACTAGAAGTTAAAGGTTTACTAAAGTTATTAGAATTCATCCTGACGGGACCATGAATGTCTGAACCACATTTCAGTTTGGGTCAAAGAAGAGGACAGACAGACACACCGTCCCTAAAGCCATGTCATTAGCATGGCTAAAGAATTTCTTCAGCTGACTTTGGGAATGTTCTAGACATGATTGAGACAATGAAAATAGTCCCAAAAATGTCTACCTCCCCATTGTCTATAAAGGTTTTGTGTCCATTTTTCTGGATGTTAAACTCCAGACACTTTGCTGTCCCGTCTTCCTCCTGGAGGAGAACCCAGGCCTCATCAATCATGTTACTGTGGTATTGGCAGAAGATGAAGTCAGCCGCTCTGAGCAGGGGAATTTATTATCACAAATAACGGCACATTAGATTTTAATTAGGTGTGATGTATGTCTTACATCATTCATTGCTGCATTAGGATTGCTAATCGAAATTAGCAGTTAATGGGAGGCCTCCTGACTGATAACTGAACCATATCATTGTATTACTTTAATTATGTAAAATAGAATAAAATGATTGGGGAGGGTGGCTTAATTGTACATTTCATATGCTTAAAAAAGCAACAGCCCCAGCATGTTAAATATGTATAGTGTGTAAGAAAGAGGTGAAAATCAGCTACTCTCTCATCTCTGAGAGCCACAAGATGGGTGAACCGGGAACAGATAGCAGATCCTGATGACCGCAATATTTTCTCCCCACTCTGGATTTCAAATTAATAAAATGAATATGAATCAGATCAGATGATGTAGTAGTCCCATATGTTCTGCATTGGCTGTCTGACTGTCCACCATCAAATCGGTTTCATGATTGGTATAGGCGTGTTGGAGAATTGTCCTCCATAGAGCTTTAATTATGAACACAAATTCAAGTTGTGTTCTCCCTGATGTACACAAAAGTGTGGTGCCGTGTGCAGTCCTTCCAAAACAGAACATCCCGTTCCTAAAAACAGGTTTGAACCATAGACTGTGTATAAAGATCCCCCCCACTGACAATATTGTTTTAAGAACAATAATATACAAAATAGTTGTCCAAAAAAACCAAGCCATAGAGAGACTCAATGTATGGGCATTGTGAGATCAATCGGCTCAGTCCACCGGTAGTACTGACCTGGTACGTCTCCCACGTTTGTCTCTGCTTTCCTTGCAGTGATTGAGGGGTGGTTGCTCTCCGTGCTAGGAGTTTAGGTCTGGCTGCTCTTTGTGGATGGAGTCGGTGGCAGACTAGCGTATTCTGTGGTGTTTCCATCTTTAGTCCCGACTTGTTTCTCACACAGCTTACAAATCACTTTGTTCCGTCCAAAGAATCAACAAACCTTTTGATGACGAGAGCAGACATTTTTGCTGTTCGAGTCATCGCTACCTGGGGCTGTATCCAATATTTTGAAGCTTTGATGCGTCCTTCATAACGTTGACGTTTCAATTATTATCATACCTATTATTAACTGACAAACATTGGCCTCCACCTCCCCCCCACCCTTTCTTTGAAACACAGTGAGCAACGCGCCGTGTCGTTGTTTCTGTAATTATCTCATGTAATTATTTTCAAAGTTCAAACATGTTTTATCTAACAAAATATTCTGCTCCATATTTGTTGACGTTTAGCCTTTCAAAAACTATATTTTCACTGAGGTCAAAACTAGTTTTCTCTCCTGCACCCACCTTTATTAATGGGGCACTCTAACAGTCTGTGGGTCGAACACGTCAAGATGTTCTTTTATTTCCCAGCAGCAAACCTGCACCTGCAACGCTCAGGACCAGAAGCCATCAGTTACCTTGTTTATTATTCTCACTTTAACAGATGGAAATAAACAAGTGAGATGGGAACATTTTCGTTTTTCATTTAGTTGCATAATAATTGTGCACACACAGATATTCTCCTGAGAAAGCCAAAACCTCACTTTTACTTTCTTAAATGTTCAGGTTTGAGGTTTATTAACATTTTGGATTGACAGAGAGCTCTGTAGTTGTTCAATGATAAAATGAATCCTCAAAAATACAAGTTGCCTAATAATTGTGCACGCAGTGTAGATGAAATCAGCAGGCAGCCACTCTGCATCACAGTGCAGAGTGGCTGAATACAATGAGACTGCTGTAGCTTCTGCTCGTCTCCGGTTGGATGTACAGCCCGTGGAGCTGGTGAAAGACTGCTGTGACAGTGTTGTGATCAGCCCCTTTCAATGCGCTCCAATATAAACCACATCTGGGTAAACTTTAGTGTTAAGAGCGAGAATAGATCTGCATGCAAGGGTGGACAATCTGTTGATGTGTGTGAGACGTTTTCATGCCCACTCCCACAAATCAAGAGCTCGTTAGCGTCCGAGCTGAGTTCTGGCAGGTGTGTGGTGAGGGTCCGATATGTTTGCATTGTGACCGGACGGCCCTCGCCATGGTCTCCCCGCCAGTGGAAAGCAGCCGGTAATCTGCTCATTCATTCAGCTCAATGTTTGTGACACTTCTCTCTCACATGTAATGTAGGCCGCCATTCACCGCTCATCTGCTCACACAGGGCTCTGCCTCAATGCTTGTAGAGACTGTGTGTGTGTTGGTGTGTGTTGGTGTGTGTGCGTGTGTGTGGGTGTGTGTGCGTGTGTGGGAGCAGGTGAAGCTAATGAAGTGTGTGTGTTGGCAAAGGTTGCCCATCTTGTTGAGTTCAGTGCCAAAGTTAGTTTGAAGGCAGAGAAGCTAGTAACAGCGTTTGTCTCTGTGCACTAATTCAAATGAGACTGGAGCACATTAACCAACCTTACTCTTCACACACACACACACGTATGGCCATAATAAATCCGTTTACAGTTTTTCCAGATAATGTTTTATTTTTTACAAGATTACATTTTTCATAGTTCTGTTTTACGATGTGATCACATTTTGTTATCAGAAAGTGTCTCCTCATATGGTGGATGAATACAATTACAACAATTGGAAATGTGAATGTAATGAATATGATTGAATTTGATTGATTCTGACAGATACTAGTTGCTGTGATATTGCTCAGGATGTTAAATTGTAAAGTTGTGGTCAGTGAAACAGAGCTGAGGACAGAAGCACTCTGAAACATAGCGTCCCTTTCTTCTCTTCATTCTCTTTAGGCGCTGCGTGTGAAAACCCTGATTTTATTTTATTATTTTTTTTTAATACACTGCGTCCACATTTTGACCAATTCGATTTTTTTTTTAGTTGTCATTCCATCCGTGTGTTCCACATGGTTGAATCACAGGCCCTGCACATAAATGATGGGTCAATGGGTGCTGGTATGGAACTGAGTTAAATGGCTGAGTGAACACTTAACATTGACACATGCACTGGTGCTTTCTTGTTTCAAATAGTAACCCCGTGTCCTCCTGCTAACTGCTTGTTCAAGGTTATTTAAAGGATACTTTATAACATTGGGTTCACTTCCTGAGATCTGGAAACACAGTAGTAACTGGTACAACAAACGAGCAGTCAGACAATCAGAAAGTCAAGTTATCTCAACCATTTAATGGGAGCTAGAAGCAAAATTAAGCACACGCAGGAGTTCTGTGTACGCACTAGTGCCATCACATTTCATTCAAAATGTAGATAGTGAAGACAACTGGGTCGGTACGTTCGGTCAAAGTGGGAGGGATGTTTACAACTACAAGTAAGTTTGACTAACCTGGAGCTTTGTTTGAACTTTTTCTGGCTGCTCATGCTTTTTACCACGGGGGACTTAGGAGTGATGTCATAGAGTTGATGTGCAATCGAACTTGAATAAGAGCCCAGTTTTAATAAACCAGAGTGATCCTTCAACAATACAACTGGCTATTTTCTCATTTGTTCCTCTGTTTTCTATTTACAGGCACACCACTCCCCCTCCATGGTCAATCTGCCTTCCATGTTTGAGAGGAAGTACCACACATTCAGTCGTTCCACCACCCACCTCTTTTGAGAGCACCAGCCACCTCCCATCTCTCCGTCTCCTTAAACAGCAAGACCCGACCCGACAGGTGTGCGCGTCCAACATGGAAGCTTCCTGTCAATTAATGGCAAACTGGCATTTGTCCATCCTGGAGCTCCTCGCACACTTTTCAAATCCAGAGGAAATGTTAAGCCACATTTTGACAAACACACCAGCTACTGTCAGTGCTTCATAGCTGAGACTTGGGCTAAGAAGGATTGAAACAATTAAGAAGTTGTTCATCAACTTGATGCCCAACATATGATGCATGCAGCTAAAACTGGTCTGTCTGTTGCTGAGAACGCGCATCCGACAAAGCACTTTGGTGCTTCTTTTCCAAACATGTGCACTGCTTGCGTTAACACTAGGGCTAGCTGGAGGAGCTAGCTGGAGGGGCTAGCTGGAGGAGCTAGCTGGAGGAGCTAGCTGGAGGAGCTAGCTGGAGGAGCTAGCTGGAGGAGCTAGCTGGAGGAGCTAGCTGGAGGAGCTAGCTGGAGGAGCTAGCTGGAATGGTACTGCGCCATGCTGGGGGCCACGTGTGTGTGACATCACCTCTGTAATGTAAAGCTTGCTCTGCCCGTAGAAAATGAAGGATGCTCCGCTTTTTGTCAGATGTTAATGGATTATCTCAACACGATTTGATTTTTTTTTTTTTTTTTGAGTAATGTACTTTACAACACACACATTTTGTGCTAGTACATTCAGCTTCCTGGTTGGTACCATTGTTGGCAGACACAACTGCATGTCCTCTGGTCTAAATGGGGACTTCGTGCTGTCCCTCGATGCTATTTGTGTTCTCTAGTAAATTAACATTTCATTTTCGATGATTATCTATTTCTATTTAACAAATGCATTTAATGTTGTTTTATTGTAGTGGGGTCGACTTCTTTTCACCTGAGATAATATCACTTCATTTAAACCTGATAGTTTCCAGCTTTTATAAAGCTTCTATTTTAACTTTTGAGAGATTGCCTTGAATAAAAGCGGCTGTACACGTTTTTAAAGGAGCTTTTTACAGCGCGTCTGTGTGTTTTAGAAGGAATGCTGCGTACATATTTATTCTTGAATTCTTTTTTATGTTTTCCACTTTCATGCCTGTTTTTCTCTCATTCTGTTTCATTGAGCTTCTATTGTCTCCTGTTGTTTTATCTGTATTAAATGCACTTAAACATGTACCTGAAGATTTAAGCTGTTTTTATTTTGTACTCTGCTGTATGTCTTTTATCACCTGCACATTATACTCATTTCACCACGTCATCGTATTTCCTCTTTATGTTCCAGACTGTGTGTAGATTCTGCCACAACGATCCTTCTTTGCAATCGCCGATATAATTGATAGTTATCCGATAAAGCTGCTTTATTGGGGCTCAAAATGTTTGACTGGACAAAGTCTTGGAGCTTCCTTGAGTTTGGGCTCTTTGAAGGCCTGTTTGGGATTTGCATACTACTTTGAAGAGAGCTCATCATTGCTCCTCAGTGCTCGTCTGTACTTCTTGCTCATTTGATGTAGGAGTTGGTTTAGAAGTTTCTGGATCCCCCTAGACAAAAAAAGTGCGCTTCCCCAGTTTCCCTCAAACTCATAAATCACAGCTGCTGTTTTAAATTCACTTTTGAGCCGGCAGTCAGTGGGGTCTTTGAAGAAAGTAAACCTAGTGCACAAATACTGACAAGTAGTCAGAACTGCTAACCAGCAGGTATTTAGTTTAAAGTGCTGGTGTAACCTGCAGCAGCAGCATGACGGTCCTCTAATACTGCAATGCCTCATCGATCCCTCCAGGAGAACTTCCAGACTCTTGGGGGGGGGGAATGAAAATAAAAAGTTGATGAATGAACCAGCTGTGTGAGAAAGTCCAGTCTTCTGTTCTGTGTAAATGGCTTTTTCAGCTTTTTTTTTTTCACCTCTCGGCTTTCACTGATAACCCCGGGTTTAATGTCACAATGCTATGAATTGTGGGTAATTCCCTCAAGCAAAGTCTGCAGAAATGCAGGCTTAAGGAAAGGGTTCATAAAGGGCTCAAAATGTCTGCGAGAGAGCCCTCAAACACTCGAGGATTTGACAGAGGGACAGATCTAAACCCTCAGAGTCTGTGAGTGTGGAGAGAGTGGACCACACAGACAGGTTGCTTTACCTTTTCAAGATAATGTAATGGCAGGAAAGATGGTCAGAAAATGTCTCAAGATGTACAGATCAGGTCTGTTGTGATGGTTTGTTATTAAAAACAACTGCCATTTAACCACATATTTTAAAGGGAGACTGCAGTGCTGCCTTGATAGTTATTCATTTTCATAAAGCTGAGTTAGTACGAAATCAAATATCACAGAATACAAAAGTGTTTTTTTGAACTTTGACACAACTAAAAGGAGTCACAAGATGGAGACGTGTAATTTAAAAAGTGCTTCATTTGTGTACGGTGTGTTCACACACCTGCACAGCCAGACTTTTGCCGTGTGTCCTCTTGCCCTCAGCTTAACCATAATCACATTAACTTCCCCACACTGAGTCAAGGTGTGTTTTGAATGGGGAGCCTTTAAATTTAGCCACATCGGTATTTCAGTCACGGCGGCGGGCCGGGAAGAGAGAGGTGTCCTCTTCACATGCTACCTCTTCAAAGCATTAGAAGATAATCTGTGTCTCCTGGATAAAGCGCGGGACGTGCCGGGCTGCCAGCTAGTGACTGGGGTGCAGTGCCATGCGGGCCTGAGGCGAGGCGAGACAGGGGAATAGCCACAATGAAAAGGCTCCTCTTCACTGAGGACACTCGCTCTTTTCATATTTGCCTTTGCCTTCACTTCAAAGTGCCTCTGACTGGCTGTTTAGGGGTGAAACGAAAAGGGAGACGGGCTTAAAGGAGGAGGCAGGGGGGCTGGAGTGGTAGGGGTCTGCTGGCTCCAAGGTACCATCATGAAGGACACAGTCCCAGAACATGGTGAAGACGACACTTAATATCTGGACAGTCTTACTAAATACTGTAACTGAGAAAGATGTCTTCATGCAAATAAAGCTCTTTGCATGAACGTGAGAGAAATAGATTTCATCTCTACTAACGGATTACACAGAGGAGACACGAGTAGAAAGAGAGAGACGTTTGACATTGAAATCTGTCAGTGGAAAGTGAGAGTGTGGAGATTGGACCGTTCAGGTAAAGGAGTTCTCTACTGTGAGAGAAGTTTTCATTTTCAGTGAAAGTTTCTCTTATTTAACCATGACCCAAAACTTTAAGCAAATCTGGGGGTTTTCCAGAAGACCACTCCCCCGTAACCTTGAGAGCAGAGCCAAGACATTCTGTCAGTATTATTCGAGCTGTAATGATCCTTTTAAAGCCATTCCGTGTATATGTTGATGTGATTCAGATGCTTTTTGTTTTTAGAGTAAATGACGCAGTCCTTGTGAAAATCCATGAGCGAGTAATGTCGTTATGTGCCTTCACCATGAGAATATCAGGACGCCCCTTCCATTTGTATTTTTCAAACTACCACCAAAGTGAGACATTTTCAAATCTCACACATTGTTGCTTTAATAATTAAAGGAATGAAGTCATTTTATTTTCCCCACAACAGAAATGTTATGGCAGCACTGTAACAGCCATCTCTTCCCTATCTTGGGGAGTCAAACAGCACACATCTGGATGTGTGGCAAATGTTCGTCAGTTTGTTTGGTGAAAGTGAGTATTGCACTTTTCCAGATGAGGTAACCCTGTGGTGTACTGAAGGAAAGCCAGGTGCATTTGTCATTGGCTCGGTCAGGCTGTAGTTATGCACAGCGATGCTTTTAGCTCAATAATAATGTCAGGATTCAAGGATCATTTATTGTCATCATGCAAACAGGGATGATCAAGGAAATTTAATTGTAGCCCATTTGTAACACAAGAAAATCATGGCAAACAAAAAGAGCAGCAGCAACAAAAACAATTCTCTGGTCAGATTATATGGCATCTTCACACCGTTGGACCCGAGAGCCCCCCATGGGGGGCTGTTTTAGAGTGTGCAGCATTCAGCGTGTCGTAGAAAGCATTTTTCATAAAGAAATATGATTATTGCTCCAGACATATTAAATATCGAATTAACGGGAAAAGTCCGAGCAACATCATCATACCAGCCATTGTAAACACTGCAAACACAATTATACATGAACTAATATATCTGGAAGATATCGAGAAGATTTGCCACAATTTTGGCCAAAAATCGACGACCTATGCTTACTCTATGGCTCTCTCATCACGGAGCAGGATCGCACATGGCGGATGACCACATGCAGGGGGGGCACGATTCGACCCGGAAACGCACAGCGGCGTCCAAATTACTCTCTTTCAAACCGTTCAAAAGTTATGGGTATGCATGCCAAGATCAGCCGCAGGTCACGAGAAAAATAATTGTGTAAAAAAAACTTACGTTTTGACGGTTTTGGCGATGAAAAACGGTTTTATTCCAGCGGATTAACGGCGCAGATCGTTCCTCCAGTTTGTGCTGGGTGTCTGTGACTGAGATCAATGCGCTGGGGGAATGAATCACAAAATGGCAGCCGATTCTGTGAGGTGGAGCAATCCATGTAGAGAGGGGGGTTCGCCCAGCATTTTGCGATTTTTAGTCACTAAACAGACCCGGATACGATCAAACACCCCTGCATGGCTCCCGTTGGACTATCCCGCATCTAAAAATGTCTAGTAAATCGGCCTTACCAGGGTCACATAGACACACATTATGAGCCATTTATTGTTATGAATGACAGATATGACACATCATAACTGCTCAAAATTATTCAAAATGGTGTCAAACTGATTTATTATTATTTATTATTATTTATATGAATTTGAAATGTACATTGGCTTCTTGCATATGTGAAAGTCTTCCATAAAAGCGTATTTGACAGTTTTGATAAGTTATTGAACACTCTTAGTGATAAGAAAAGTGAATATATAGTTAATATTTAGTTATATAGTATATAAAATTAGTATACAGCAATGCAACAGCTGATTCCGAAAATCAAAATTTTGATTTTTATGACCATTTATGCTGGCCTGCTTCACTCAATCGAAGTAAAATATGTTGTGGGGACATGTAAAACGTGTTGTTCTATGACTGTGACGTGGTTTTAGGCTTGCAGCTGCATTATTTAAAAAAAAAAAAATGTTCAATACAAGTGCTTTTTTTCAGGCGAACCTAGAAATTTTTCAATTTGAGCTGTGCCATAAGTGTATCAGTTATTAACCAGTAACATATACACAATATTTACACAATTCAACACATCTCACAAGTGTTACCAGTATTCTAGCATCAAAATTATTAAAATAGACCTTGTAGTTAGAGCTCGGGACTCTCTTGAGTATGGCTATGCAATTTTCGAGCAGAGGGCTAAAAATCGGGCTAGGTACCAGAAGGTTAAAAATTCAACATGAGGAAAATATTGTCCATCGACTCTGACTGTGTTTGAGCATCATGATGTGAACATCTAGTCCTCCTCCTCTGGTCCACCAGAGTCCAGCTCTCTGTCCTGCTGTCCGCCCGTCAAGTGCAGCTTGATCCTGGACCACGATGGATCCAGGTCTCTGTGAAGATATGGGCTCAACAGTCACCGTCCTCCTGCTAGTAGTGGAGTAGCTTCAGGTCCTAGCTGGGTTAGCTTAGCTTCCATCTCTGCTCTTCTCCCTCTCCTCCCTGGGGCAGTTTGGTGGCGTTTGTTCCAGCAGGTCTGGCTGGTTTGTCGGCTATGGGTGGTGATCGTCTCAAAGTCCGCTGCACTTAATCCCCACGCTTCCTTTCCAGATGTTGATGAATGCAGTGGTGGGCCATCAGGGCCTGCAAGGCCTTCTCTGCTGGCCTAAACAGAATCACAAAGCTATATCTATTTTATAATTTAATAATTTTTCTTAAATACACTACATGTATTATAATTTATAAAAATATTTTTCCCATTATCTTATTTTCTCATTGCACAGCTACTGTCTTCCTCAGTTGCTCTGCTTCCAGTGCAGCTTGTTTTAAGTAGAGCTTTTATCCAATCAGATTTCACCTCTGTGTCTCTAGGTAAGAACAGAGGCCCGAGGCCTGCAGACTCTCAAGTGAATCCATGTGCAGTTTAAGTGAATGGGGACGATGTTGTTGATTGTCATAGTGTTCAACCAATCAGATCTTTAGTTTGACAAGTTGGGTGTATTCTTTGACGTGTCAGCGCCTGCCAGCCGGCCTATAATGACGTCAGCATTAGTGCAGCTCAGTGTCCATGTGCAGCTCTGCCGTGAGGTGCAGAGTGTGCTGTGATTGGTCAGTGTGCGACCACGTGACTATCGTGAAACGAAGCTTAACAGCAGAGGCTTAGTCGGGTACTGAATCACATCACGTGATGCAGCTCAGCCAATCAAATATGGGCATTCTGACAAGTTTCCTGACTGAGTGAGATGTACCACACACCATGACACAGGGGACTGAGACGAGGAAAGACATTGCAGAGCAGTACATTCAATGTTCGAGTTGTGAAAGTAAAATCCTAAAACAATCTCTGTGGGATGCGACTTGTCATTATAATGGAATGATGGTGGGTCCCACAGCCAGACCAGCTGAGAACCGCTGTCCTCCATGAGCACAGAAAACATTATGTTTTCCTGAATTTAAGCTTCTGTATCTTCCAAATGCTCGAGCATTATCCAAACATATTGTAAGCCTCGTACCGAATGGTTTAATACGAAGACGTACATAGTTACAGCCTTAAAAACGAATAATAGCTGTGGCGCCATCATGTGGTTATAAGGTGGTATTTCAGCTGCAGGACAGCAGTGAAGGCCCAGGTATAAAATGCACGGCCTGCCACTGCATGAATGTATTCTGTCATAGGCC